CACGTACACAGGTGCACGGCTGTGTGGCTGTATATTTTGACCACGTACACAGGTGCACGGCTGTGTGGCTGTATATTTTGACCACGTACACAGGTGCACGGCTGTGTGGCTGTATATTTTGACCACGTACACAGGTGCACGGCTGTGTGGCTGTATATTTTGACCACGTACACAGGTGCACGGCTGTGTGGCTGTATATTTTGACCACGTACACAGGTGCACGGCTGTGTGGCTGTATATTTTGACCACGTACACAGGTGCACGGCTGTGTGGCTGTATATTTTGACCACGTACACAGGTGCACGGCTGTGTGGCTGTATATTTTGACCACGTACACAGGTGCACGGCTGTGTGGCTGTATATTTTGACCACGTACACAGGTGCACGGCTGTGTGGCTGTATATTTTGACCACGTACACAGGTGCACGGCTGTGTGGCTGTATATTTTGACCACGTACACAGGTGCACGGCTGTGTGGCTGTATATTTTGACCACGTACACAGGTGCACGGCTGTGTGGCTGTATATTTTGACCACGTACACAGGTGCACGGCTGTGTGGCTGTATATTTTGACCACGTACACAGGTGCACGGCTGTGTGGCTGTATATTTTGACCACGTACACAGGTGCACGGCTGTGTGGCTGTATATTTTGACCACGTACACAGGTGCACGGCTGTGTGGCTGTATATTTTGACCACGTACACAGGTGCACGGCTGTGTGGCTGTATATTTTGACCACGTACACAGGTGCACGGCTGTGTGGCTGTATATTTTGACCACGTACACAGGTGCACGGCTGTGTGGCTGTATATTTTGACCACGTACACAGGTGCACGGCTGTGTGGCTGTATATTTTGACCACGTACACAGGTGCACGGCTGTGTGGCTGTATATTTTGACCACGTACACAGGTGCACGGCTGTGTGGCTGTATATTTTGACCACGTACACAGGTGCACGGCTGTGTGGCTGTATATTTTGACCACGTACACAGGTGCACGGCTGTGTGGCTGTATATTTTGACCACGTACACAGGTGCACGGCTGTGTGGCTGTATATTTTGACCACGTACACAGGTGCACGGCTGTGTGGCTGTATATTTTGNAGTAACTATACATGTATGGTCAGTAACTATATATGTATGGTCAGTAACCACATATGTATGGTAAGTAACTATACATGTCAGTAACTATATATGTATGGTCAGTAACTATACATGTATGGTCAGTAACTATATATGTATGGTCAGTAACTATATATGTATGGTCAGTAACTATACATGTATGGTCAGTAACTATATATGTATGGTCAGTAACTATATATGTATGGTCAGTAACTATAATGTATGGTCAGTAACTATATATGTATGGTCAGTGACTATACATGTATGGTCAGTAACCACATATGTATGGTAAGTAACTATACATGTATGGTCAGTAACTATATATGTATGGTCAGTAACTATATATGTATGGTAAGTAACTATACATGTATGGTCAGTAACAATACAGTATGGTCAGTAACTAATGTAATTTTCTAAAGAAATCGTAACGATAGTTCAGCCTCAAAAGTCCTTCTAAAATGAAAGTAATAAATTTCTTTTGTATATACGTATCGAAACAAACATAAAAGGCAATAAATATCGTTCTCATTTAAACAATAATTCAAATAAGGCTAAAGTTTTGCCTATTCAAAGTCAATAAATTGTTCGGTGAGAGATACCTAATAGAGCTGCCATATCGACTTAATTAAGCATCTAGAATAATTAGAAATCAACTGTCATAATCAACTCTAGTGATAATACATTATTAATTATAAATATGTTCAGCACCCATCACGGCGTCAAGTCAATATGATTCGGTGGAACTTATATTATCTATATTAATTTCTAGTTCTAACTAATTCAATATTAACTAATGTTAACTAATTTTTTAAGTCAACTAAAGCTTACTAATTTTTTATGTTAACTAATGCTTACTAATTTTTTATGTTAACTAATGTTAACTAATTTTTTATGTTAACTAATGCTAACTAACTTTTATGTTAACTAATGTTAACTAATTTTTTATGTTAACTAATGCTAACTAACTTTTTACGTTAACTAATGTTAACTAATTTTTTAATTTAGCTATTGTAAACTAATTTTTTAAGTTAGCTATTGTAAACTAATTTTTTATGTTAACTAATATTAACTAACTTTTATGTTAACTAATGTTAACTAATTTTTTATGTTAACTAATGTTAACTAATTTTTTAAGTCAGCTATTGTAAACTAATTGAACGCATCATGACATATATAGTTACTATAATGCGGGTAAAGATTAAGTAAGTCTTAATAATCAATTCAAGGTTTAAGAGCAAGTTTGTCTTTTATTGCAACTGCGAGCACAGTTATTTAATCAATTAATAATATTATTTATATTATTATCAATTAATTAATATTTATTAATTCTATTCTCATGTTGGATTATATACATCGGGGGATAAAATCAAGGTCTCAATCAAGGTCTCAATCAAGGTCTCAATCAAGGATCCCAATCAAAGTCCCCAAATAAGGCCTCAATGTCCCAATCAAAGTCCCAAATAAGGCCCCAAAGTCTCAATACTACACCAAGTTCTCACCATTACATGTAAGTGACCAGGTTTAGCCACGTGCTATATTTAGCTGACAAAGTACAAACTATCTTAGCATTTCCGGTTTTAGATAGCGTAAGCACCAGTTATTATGCAAACACTTTTATAAAACATAAATTTTAACAGATTTCCAAATATCGTCTAAAAATATCGTTTAAAAATATCGTCTAACAATTACGAAACCTAAGAATCGTAATTGCGATTTAAAATTCAATCAATATGCTCACTGTGATTTGGTTGGTTCTCTAAAGATAATATAAATTCTGTTAAATTTATTCAAAGAAAAACATTTGGTCCAAAATAATGTCAGCGACCATGACGTTTTACGACGCATTAATATTGTATATATATTAATCATGCATGAAACGCATGATTAATAAATGTATTTTTAATAAACATGTAATTAATAAACGAAAGATTAATAAATGCATGATTGGTAAACGCATCACTAACGAATGCGTATAACTTCAGACAATTAAACATTGCAGTGCCTAAATTTATCATTATTAATTAGTAGAGTTAAAACTATTTTTATCTCAGACATATAATGAAACTAAATTTATATCCCAAGGTGAACGTTACTAAAAAAAACGTAGTTATGCTCGTGCTGAGTTTCAACACCAGATATTTATTACTAGAATTTATTATTTCAACACTAGATATTATTAGCGTAAGAGCTTTCAAGTGTAGGAATGGTTAATTCATTACGTATCACAACGAATTTAATTTGAATAATATGTCTTCAATTGAATCATTGAATTGAATAATTAATAAGTAGTAATAATGTAGTGTATGATTTGTTAAGAAACGAATGAATGATATGCGACATTTTTTTCAAGCATAAAAAAACTGATTGGCTGTATATATGGTATACGCTTTACTATATGCCAATTTTTTAGTGACATAAACGGGATAACGAAATAAGAGGTGAACAACGAAAAAAATTAATTGAATGAATGAAAAAAAATTAACGAAATGAATTAAAAGTGAACAAACGAATAGAGTTGAAGTATACTATTGAAAAAAATAGTCATATATGAGAATATTATAGTGAAAAAACAGGTTATTGAACATGAATAGAGATTTACAATACCGGTATACATTCTCTATGGACGATTTATTTAAGATGTGAACGTAACTACTATATAAGCGCGTAAGAATACATGAAAAATAAATGCGTAGCAAAAATGTATGCGCGGTTGCTTAGGAATTTCATTCAGTTTGGGGCGACAGCAGAACTTTAATTAAAAATTCAGACGCCACTTAAACGCTAACGAGAACCCATATTCTGATTAATGATGATTAGGCACAGCATCGTAGCCTTGGGTTATTGAAAAAGATATATAAATGATATATTTATTTCATTTATATCTTATATTTATATATAACTTTATTTATATAATATCTTGAGGTATTGATATATACATAAATATATATTCACAAATACCATATTTTACTATATACCGCAGCTGTTGTTGCTGCGATGACTTACATGTATTGACTTTAGTTGAATTGAATGCACTTATAAATATACTTTATGTATAAAACTTTTTCAATATTTTAGTTTAGGAAGTTTAATAAAGATGGTATGGTACTAACCTATTACAAATAATCGAATTTTCGAATTCGAGTTCTTTCAAACCAACCGTAACGGCTAACCCTTGATGTACGGAAACCTTCAATATCGTCAATTTATTTCGCATTTTAATTGCCTGGTAATAAGACGCCTAAAAGTTTCTGTTCGTTGCAAGAAGCAATCAATGAAGCTAGTCATGCGTGGAGACTGGCATTCAACAGCTCACTTCGATTGTGCAAACATTCTGAAAAAAATCGCCTAGATATTACGACTTTCATTTTTCTAATAAGAGAAATTTAATTTCTGAATGTGAATACGCACTTGTGACATTACTGAACAATCAAAACATTAAATAGTTACCGCCTGAAGATGTTCACGAGTCTCTTAAAAAAACATTAAATTATGCATTCCAATACGTTTGACAAAACCTGTAGTTTCATGCCTGTCAAGATACAAACTATATAAAGAAGAAAGTTTATATTCTAACACTACAAAGTTTATAAACTTGATAGTTTATAAACCGTTTAGTGCACTTCTGCCATTGTATCTAGAATTTAAACCCACACCAGTATTAGAGTATTTAAACCCCCTCCAAATTTGGCTTTTCAGCGTTTTTTTCGAGACTCTTACGTCAAATAAAATTACTAAATTCATAGAAGTACGATAACAAATAGTATATCTTTATAGGTTCTTCACTAAATTAAACCTTAACACAACCATCGAAACGAACCATACTTTCATACCCTAAAATAAGAGTAACTGAAAACACGAAAAAGTTTTCTGGCTCACCTGGAAGATTTTGGGAAATCTGGCACGGTTTTCTGACTGGCGAGGGAGAGTTCCTGGATGGTCCTGAGACTTTGCGGTTCAGCGGAGATGCCCTGAGCACGCTCTTTACGAGCTCTTTTATTAACGGCTGCAGCAGCCGTAGCAAAAGGCATCACACTCTGGAACTTATCCAGCTGCGATCGTAACTCTGCGATTGAATCCTCATGGTTCTTCAATCGTAGTTCCAGCTTCCGAATCGTGTCGTCTTTCTCGACGATAATAGCTTCCAGTTCGCTGATCGTCGGCATCTTGGAAAGAACTGTTGGGTGGCTGATGCACAAAAACAACAAGCCGGCTCGAAATTGCCTATATATTAATAACTAGTTTGCTTAATTGTCAGGTACTTCTCAAGAGAAGTAGCTGCCACCACCAAGTGCAACAAGGTACTATGGTACATAAAACATTTATTTACAGCACACACAGTAATAAGAAATAGCATGGGCACATAAAGCAACAGTTCGTCAACATGTGCGAGTCATTCTAACTAGTGAATAGTTTACACTGAACTCGAGATGTCTTTATTCATTTCTGGCATGATTTGCCACGAAGTTGGTCAGAGAAGAGTTACACATGCACCACACACCGTAGTCAACAGCACACTACTACAAAATCATGTGTCTAGCGAAAAATTCGAGACGGTTTGTGCAGTTGCCACCTCTTGCAACGCTTTGGACTATCCATAAGATCGCGATTCGTAATATACGCTCTGTGTTTCACTTCACTCACTTTTTTTTCAAATGTACATATAGAAATAGACATTACTAAATAGGAATATTATTCAGTTAAGATTCTACCTCGTAAACGCAATGCGTTCGTTGTTTGAATCGCATTCTCGAGTGCCAAAAAATGGCATTGGCAGAACATGAACGTGAAAGTTGCACAGAGACTCTGGCGGCGGTGGCAACAGGTGGTGGGTGGTAAACGATGCCACATGTCGACAGATGCTCATTTATTTCTCAAATATATTAGGTCATTTATTGAAGCAAAGACAAGAATATTCTAATCAAAAAATTTTCCATAAAATTTATGTTGTTCACTAAAATAATATAAAATTGAAGTAATATTATAATATATGTTAATTGCAAAAAATATTATTTTTTTCTATGAATGAACATCGTGGGTCAATTTAAATACCCTTGGGTTGACCGAACCCAAAAAATGCGTAGGTTATTCGCGGTGCCTTTGTTGGATGATTGGTTTCCATATTTATAGATTCCACAAAAAGATGGACCGAACCAATTACCATTGAAGCCAAACTTTCACTTGAGTTCTCTCAGATTTATATGCAGAAAAGCAGAGCGTAGTTTGCATAGCAATCATTTTTCCTGATATCTTCCAAGTTTAACTTGATATAAGCATTGAACAATACTTAGAATAGTAACTCCTGGCCCAATCGCTTGCGGTTCTGCACTTACCGAGATGAATTAAAATTTAATCGCAGCCTTGAATCATTTTATAACTCACGAAACTTTCAAATTTTATTATATTGTTATGTTAATGTTACAAGTGGTGCCCAAAACAAGCAAAACCATTATCTCTCCCGAAATCGATTGAAGTGTAATAATAATGTACGATAAATTAGAGTGATTTTCATCTTAATTAGAAACTATAAAAACTGGCGAGCTTATAACGTATGTATCGTTGCCGATCACGATCAAAAACGAAAATACGACTTAAATTTTCATCAATAGAAGATCATTATCACTTGACCGCCGATTTAATTTAGTCCCACCTCATTTGCAAATTTTCTACTAGCATAACCGAAAATAGTTTTCACCCACCAAATTACATGTGCCGGCAACATTTTCGACAGATTTGTACTCTTTTTTTGACGGCGTAATTTTTTACTGGGCACCAATTGTTTTTTTTAAGGCAGACTGCTTTATTTATTCAAGATAAAAATAATATTTCTAGAGCGTTCTGGGCCCCGCGCATTCAGAAGCAAGTAAAATTAGATTTTTTAGCGAAGAAAAATGCAGATCATTCAGTGTAACTATTCGTCTTATTAAATTGTGATTTCACTTTTTAGAAATGGCAAGAGGATATTATTATTTGTTTTCCCTCCTTAACATAATTAATGTAGGAATGGTCAAGTGGAAACATGGCTACTTTAATTAGATACATGAGAGTGCAGCAAACCGTAGTTACTGAATACGATTTGCTACAATGAATGGTAGTTATGGTGCGCATGCTCGGGGGGGGGGGTAATGGTTAAAATCACCAAGCTCGGAGCAGCGAGTTGGGGTTCGAAACCCACAACGAGTTGTGAAAATTTAGGGTCGAAATCGCAATTATGTGATTCAGTCAGTAAAATATCTTAATAAGTCGTTTTTTATTCGCCAGGAATATGGAAATTAACTTTTAATACAGTTTAGACTTAGTTCCTGAATGCGACGTAGCGCATGAATGCGCTTGATGAACGCGAACGTTGATTGTAGAGCGGTGGACTAACGTTTATACAAACTTAAGCTGGGGTTGAGATTAAAGTGTGAATGAACATGGTGGTTGGGTTGAAGTGGAAAAGAAAATTGTGGTTGGAATATGGGTTGTTGGGTGAACGTGGAGATGAACATGGTGGTTGGTACAGAGGTTGGGTTGAAGTGGAGATAACATAACATAACATAACATAACATAACATAACATAACATAACATAGTGATGTCAGCGCTGAAGTGTAGGCCTGTTGTGGCCTGTCGCCGATTCTTTTCCTTTTCGTGCCTTGTTCACAGAAGATCTAAAATCGTGTCATTTGACCGGATCTTTTCACGACTGACGAGAGTTTGAAATAGCTACTAGACTTCTGCTAGAATAGCTACTCCAACATGGTGGTTGGAGCAGGGGTTGGGTAGAAGGGGAATGTATGCGGCGGTAGGTACAGAGGTTGGGTTGAAGTCGGTCCACACAACGCCAGATGTTGTGGGCCGACATAATTGATGGTGAACTTTTGATTATATATTACCTTTTTTACTCTAAATTCAATATGACAACCTTTCGTAATAGCACTTGTAGCTTTGCTTGATGAGCAAAGCCTGTGGTGCATCGTACGAAAATATTCGCGCAAGATAATATATTTTTGCGCAGTAAACGCCGACTTGTTAGAGAGTTTAAATATAAATAAACTGGGGTGGCCCAGTGGTTACAGTTCAGAGTACCAAGATTGGCGCAGAGAGGCGCGGGTTCGATCCCAGCTCTGTGCGCCAGTTTCTGGTCAGAATCGGCAAGGAGGCCGGGCGGTTAAGCACAGCAGAATTGTAGCAGTGAGTTGCGAGTTCGAGACCGCAACAAGCTGTGAATATACTGCGATGTTAAGAATCGGCGACAGGCCTACGGTCTACTAAACGCTGAAAACCGCTATTATTATTATTAAATACGATCAAGAAATTCAAAGGTTATTAAAGGCTATATCGATAACTGTAGAATATGGAATGCAAGAAAACGGCTTTGATGTTAGAAACAAATGCAACAATCGCGCCATTTGTGAATATATTTGGTGTGAAGTGTCAAGCTCGCTGTGCGTTCATCAAGAAGTAGTTCTTTCTTCCAATTTATTTATTCAGCCTGTGCCTCGCACTCCAAAAAATATATTTCTCTCATTATTGAACGTTGCATTTATCAGCTTGCTTCAATCGCTAATTGCGATAACGAATTTATTTCATTGATAATATCTTGGAAAGATAAAAATATCTTTAAATCAGGTAGAAATATTCCTCACAAAACTAAATTCCTAGCACTTACCCCTGAATTCCTAGCACATTACCCTAAAATCCTAGCACATTACCCTAAAATCCTAGCACATTACCCTAAATTCCTAGCATATTACTCTACATTCCTAGCATATTACCCTAAATTCCTAGCAGATTACCCTAAATTCCTAGCACATTACTCTAAATTCCTAGCAGATTAGCCTAAATTCCCAGCACATTACTCTAAATTCCTAGCAGATTACTCCTGAATTCTAAAAACCAAAACACAAAAAAAATTCTTGGTAGCAAAGGACCACATCAAACTAAACTAGCATAGTTTATTGTGAAGGATAAAGCAAGAAAACCACAGTAAGAGTTTCGCATTATTCGAATCTCCATTAATTATTATTTTTATTTGAACGAAGTCAGAAAATCATTTTCTAACTTTAAGAAAACCGCCTCAGAAAATGACCTAAATGAGTGCAGCGCAAATGCATACGAAACTTTAATTTTTTATTAAATTAACCAATTTAATTAACCTGAAACTTTCAAGCCTAACATTGTCGTGCTTCCTCAAACTCTAAACCAACATTAACAACAATTACGTATTTATTATACATGATGACAATAATAATAATAATAAGTATGGTTCACGAAATTATTGAATGAACATTACGTATTTATTATACATGACAATAATAATAATAATAATAATGGTTCACGAAATTATTGATTGAACAATTACGTATCTATTATACATGATGACAATAATAATAATAATAATAATAATAATAAGTGTCGTTCAGGAAATTATTGAATGAACATTACGTATTTATTATACACAATAATAATAATAATAATAAGTATGGTTCACGCAATTATTGAACAGACAACATCGGATACAAACTTTCACAGTAATTTTTACGCATCCAAGTCGGCCGAGTTTAAATCTATATTTTGTTTACAAATTTCTTGGATAAAATTGGACAAAAAATAAACACAAATGGAGAAAAAATTTTATATTACAGACAAAATCGAGTGTAAATCTATATTTTGTGAACAAATTTCTTGGACAAAATTGGACAAAGAACTGTAAAAAAAAACACAAATGGACAAAAAATTTTATATTACAGACAAAATTGCGATCCTAGATGTGTAATGATAAGGATTTTGAGAGCAAGCTAGTCGGTCTTATCTAAGCCTGATATTAAACGAAATTTCAAGTTCATTGAATGAAACTTGTTGAAGACATTAAAACTTCAACTTCAACACACCGAACGCAAGATTTAGTTCACCGTAAAAATTTGTTAGCAGGCTTGAGTTTAAATGAAATTTAATAACAAAGAATTTGTGAAAATAATAGGAATGTCATTGAAAGGGATAACGTCAAGGGATGATAACTAAGTTATAGATAATTTAACGCAAATTTTCGCATCGGTATCAATTGGTCAATAATTTCATAGTTACTTTCAAGTACAAAAATTTTGATACTAATTGTCGAAATTCAACTTTTTAATTCACGTTTCAGGATTAGAAAATCAAAAAAACATGCAAAGAAAACCCTTTTTTTAAGAAAAACCAGCTCACCTGAAGTCACTGGAAAGCACATCGAAAGTTTATTAATAAATACCATTGATAGCATTATTGGAAAGTTTTATACATAATTCATTCACTATTAAAGCGAGACAACAACAGCAATTGTGATGCTATTTCTGTCATTTATTTAACACCGAACTTTGCTTTAACATTATTTTCCGGTATCAATATCTATAACGTCAAGTGAATATTACGTCTCAATTACGAATGATTATAATCTTATAATATAATAATATTCATAATAATTATATTATAATTCACGTAATATTACACGTCAAGTTATAATTTTATTCATAATAATTATACTATAATTCTCGTAACGTCAAGTGAATATTACATTCCAATTACAGATGAATAAAAATCTCATAATATTATTATATCTTATAATATTATTATATTAATGATAATTATATTATAAGATTACAATCGTCTGTAATTAAGACATAGTATTCACTTGACGTGATAGATATTGAAACTATTCACGTATCTGGGTATTTCAATTCAAGAACAATTTAAACAAACAACAAACAAATTTAAATATTCATATATGGCCTAGAAAATTAACTGTATTTTGCCGTTACGGAATGAGTTTCCAGATCAAAAAAATACGTACCTACACTGTGAACAAAATACGTACACTCATGAAAATAAAGGTGTCCTGTTGTCCAAATAGTGACACACTTCCTTACGTAGCACTGATACACTCTATTGCCAGGTTAAACTGGGTCACGGTGTCCCACTTAAAGGTTCAAAGTGCATCGCTACATGGACAGTGTCAAACTAGTTTTTTTGATTGTAAATTTAAATAAATCAAGAACTGAAAAGAAGTCGTGCAACATTATTTATAAGTACAATACTGCATTCATTTCTTAAAAAAACCAAAGAGCCTTTAACAATTTTAATGAATGACATGTCGAAAAACTATATATCAGAATTATTATGAAACGATCGTGAAGAAACAGCAATAATGATAGGTCTTTGAATACAGTGATGAACGAGTAACAATAACAAAATACTGGATGTATTGGGAAAAATTTGGTGAATGTGACTATGAATGTGATTTACAATACAAGAGACTTTCAGTATTCGTACACATATAAACTTTCTAACAGATTATAAACTTTTAAACTTTCAAAAACTTTCAACTTTCAGACACTCTCGAGATGTCCGCAAATTCGTAGTTTTGTAATTTTCCCGACATTCACGATAAGATTTGTACAAAAATAGACAATACCGATAGTTAAAAACCAATTTACTGAAAACACATGATCATTTTCAAGCTTAAGACGGGCAGTCGTTAAGCCTTCATTCGCGTTTATACAACATTACATGAAATATCAGAAAATACAGTCAAATTCGGGAAAATAAAAAAAATTTATGATACGGCAAATAATAAAAAAATTTGCTGGATACACTTTAAAAATTCACAAAGTTGCAGTAGGATGCTAAGTATCATTAATTCTTTGCTATTTAACAAGTATACCTATGAAAACATTCCTTCGAAATCCTTCACCTAGCAAAACATTCACAGGTCAATGCACACCGCATTCGCATTCAATTTACTTATACTATTGTATGAACATTAAATATACTATTGTATGAACATTAAAGACCTCTCGATTTTAGGAACCATACGCACAGGTAGTAACAAGATGTCTACAAGACGCCTATAGTACCATAGTGATCTACTATACCTACTAATATAGTTATATACAAGCGCGTTCCTTATAACCACCAAGTAAACTTTTCCATTACAACCTCTAAACTCAATCCACATGGTATTTCACTTAGCAATTACAACACTACTACCACTGGAACTGGTAGTCGTTACGTTCGAGGTACACGATGTAGTGGTAGGAGTAGTGGTAGTGGTAGTGGAACCAGGACAACTATCAAGACCAGTGGAAAGACTGGTAGATTCGACTAGGTTGAATGAACAACACTACCACCACTGGAACTAGTAGTAGTTGCGTTCGAGGTACACGATGTAGTGGTAGGAGTAGTGGTAGTGGTAGAACCAGGACAACTATCAAGACCAGTGGAAAGACTGGTAGATTCGACTAGGTTGAATGAAGTTGGTGAACAAGAAGGTGGTGATGATGAATCCGTCTTGAGAGTAACGTCGTTGGTGTGCGTTGAATTCAGAGTTGAATTCTGAGTAGCACTCAAGTCGTCACAAGATCTGTTAAAAATATATCAATTTTAGTCTGGAATTTATAACCTAATTCAGAAATCGTGGTGTTACCAGGCAGTTCTCCTAAAAGAATGTCAAAAAATTTCCTGCAATTACAAACAGGAAAAATTCATCTTCCAAGTGAAAAATTAAATCTAATTTTTATTCTCCAAAGGAGTGGAATTTCGAATTCTAGTCCAAAATCTCTGATAAAATACCACAGCGTAAGTGATAAATAGCGTAATAAGAAATAAATACACAGCGTAAATAATAAATATTGTAATAATAAATAAATACACAGCGTAAATATTAAATAACATAGCAATAAATAAAAATAGTAACTAGAAAGAATAAGTAATTTCGCCAGACCTCGCTACAGGATCAGGCGCCGCATTCCTGAGCAGGAGCAGCTTGGGGTCCTTTGCAGGAGGTGGTGCAGGTGGTGCAGGAGCCAGCAGATGTGCAGGTGGTGCAGGTGGAGGAGGTGACGTGGGCAGGAGGGATATGGTGGAACGGGAGAGACTCTTCCCTGCTGAAGTGGAAGAGGCACTCCCTTCCAGCCCCGCGGCGGCCTCAGCGCTGTACTTGATGTTAGTGTACTCCCTGCCCACCTGCAGCGACTTCTGCGGGAGGAAGGGAGGGGTGAGGTGTGAGTAAATTATATGGGGATGTACCCTAACAAAATTTAGAGTCGCCCCAGCTTCTGGTTTAGAGTCGCCCCAGCTTCTGGTTTAGAGTCGCCCCAGCTTCTGGTTTAGAGTCGCCCNCGCTGAGTGCGAGAGACAGAGAACCCGGGATCTGGGTGCGAGAGAGAGAGAACCCGGGAGCTGGGTGCGAGAGAGAGAGAACCTGGGAGCTGGGTGCGAGAGACAGAGAACCCGGGCGCTGAGTGCGAGAGACAGAGAACCCGGGATCTGGGTGCGAGAGAGAGAGAACCCGGGAGCTGGGTGCGAGAGACAGAGCCTCTCACCACTGCACCACCACAGCTCTACCTTCTTAGCACTCGTTCTAATGTTGCATTGAGTTGAGTAAGAAGTTGAAAATTAGAGTTGGGTACAACGTCGAGTTGAGTATTTCGTTACTCACCTTCTCCGCACTCATCCTGTGCTCGATGGCATCAATGTGGTCCTGTACGGCGAGGTACACAAACTTGTACTGCGCTTCGGTCTGCACGAGACCGGACCGCTGGGACCGCACGTGTAGGATGGTGCGCTGTATGTCCAGTTCACAGTCCAGACCTGGGATATCAACACATTTATTTATTATATTTATTTAATAATTATAACATTCACATACAACACATTTGAAGAATGTACAACTAAGTGAGTTTGATTTTATTTGTCAAAATAATGCAAAATGAATGTCATTTATTGGAAATATATTCAGAGGGTCAATATTTTATTCATCGAACTAATACTTACACAGACAATGAATGTCATTCATTGGGGAAAAAAATCAGGGGTCAATTTATATTTTGACGTTAATAATTATAGATACCAATTTCAATTTGGAAGTCATAGAAACCGAGTTGAACGGGTAATATGCAAGCTAAACATTAGTTTAAGAATTGAACTGCCTAGTTCCTTGAGTGTGAAACACTTTGATGACGACCTCAAATCTATTCAACCACACTTATATACAAAATTATACATAAAATATATACTTGTATATACAAAATACTACCACACTTACGATTAAATGATGTCCCTGCAGCTAGAGCAGCGCAACATCGAATTTTAACAGCGCATTTCAATTTAAAAACACCAAGTGAATATGAAGATCAGAGGTCACTTGTATCATGTCGAGGACGATGAAGGCTCCTTACCTCAGGATCATGTCTAGGACGATGAAGGCTTACCTTGCCTCAGGATCATGTCGAGGACGATGAAGGCTTACCTTGCCTCACGATCTGCCTCAGGATCATGTCTAGGACGATGAAGGCTCTTACCTTGCCGCACGATCTGCCTGAGGAACATGTCACAGTACACCTGACAAGTGGGGCAGTACACCTGACAAGTGGGGCAGTACACCTGACAAGTGGGCCAGTACACCTGACAAGTGGGCCAGTACACCTGACAAGTGGGTCAGTACACCTGACAAGTGGGGCTGTACACCTGACAAGTGGCGCAATACACCTGACAAGTGTGTCAGTACACCTGACAAGTGGGTCAGTACACCTGACAAGTGGGTAAGTGCACCTGACAAGTGGGTAAGTGCACCTGACAAGTGAAAACAGACTCATGATGGGTGGTGAATGAGTTACCCACTCACAATGAGTGGCTCACAAGTTACCCACCTCTCAGTGGTAGGGTCGGCGCAGTTGAGAGGGAACTTAAGTTCTATAACATGTCCATTCTTCTCCTTAAGTTGTCCCACTCATGAGTGGCGAGTTACCCACCTCTCAGTGGTAGGGTCGGCGCAGTTGAGAGGGAACTTAAGTTCTATAACATGTCCATTCTTCTCCTTAAGTTGTCCCACTCATGAGTGGCGAGTTACCCACCTCTCAGTGGTAGGGTCGGCGCAGTTGAGAGGGAACTTAAGTTCTATAACATGTCCATTCTTCTCTTTAAGTTGTCCCACTCACAATGAGTGGCTCACAAGTTACCCACCTCTCAGTGGTAGGGTCGGCGCAGTTGAGAGGGAACTTAAGTTCAATAACATGTCCATTCTTCTCTTTAAGTTGTCCCTGGTTCTCCATGTAATACTGAACAAGTTCAGCGAGCGTGGCGAACTTCTCCCCGCCGTACAGGTCATAGAAATCGCCCATGTTCTGGATCTTGATGTGCGTTACTTCACCATTACGTCTGTAATTAATTATTTTAATTAATATGAGAAATAAAATTAGAACCATTAGAACTCAATCTCCGAAATTAGAACCATTAGAACTTAATTTCACCGCCGTACAGGTCATAGAAGTCACCCATGTTCTGGATCTTGATGTGCGTAACTTCACCATTACGTCTGCAATTAATTATTTTAATTAATATGTGAAATAAAATTTGAAATATTAGAACAGTAAATTAACAGTAAAATTAGTACAGTAAATTGGGTAATAAAAAAATATAACTCAGTACTCACTGCAGTGAATGACAGAGAGCGCATTTTCTCGTCGACGAAAACGCGAAGTCACGGACGGACGGACAGACAGACGGACGGATAGACGGACGGACAGACGGACGGACGGACGGACATGACGAGCACTTTAGGGCTTTTTCCCATAAATGAGAAAATGCGCTAAAAATGATTAAAAATTTTATTAATATGTGAAATAAAATGTGACACATTAGAACAGTAAATTGGTATTGGATGAATTACTGGAGTTAATTGATGATGGATGAAATAGTAGAGGATATAGATGTTGGGTGAATTAGTAGAGTAGATCGGGTAATATAAAAAATGGGTGTAGGGTGAATTAGTAGAGTAGATCGGGTAATATAAAAAATGGGTGTAGGGTGAATTAGTAGAGTAGATCGGGTAATATAAAAAATGGGTGTAGGGTGAATTAGTAGAGTAGATCGGGTAATATAAAAATGGGTGTAGGGTGAATTAATGAGTAGATCGGGTATATAAAAATGGGTGTAGGGTGAATTAATGAGTAGATCGGGTAATATAAAAATGGGTGTTGGGTGAATTAGTAGAGTAGATCGGGTAGTATAAAAAATGGGTGTTGGGAATTAGTCAAGTAGATCGGGTAATATAAAAAATGGGTGTAGGGCGAATTAGTAGGGTAGATCGGGTAATATAAAAAATGGGTGTAGGGCGAATTAGTAGGGTAGATCGGGTAATATAAAAAATGGGTGTAGGGTGAATTAGTAGGGTAGATTGGTAATATAAAAAATGGGTGTAGGGTGAATTAGTCGAATAGATTGGGTAGTATAAAAAATGGGTGTTGGGCGAATTAATGAGTAGATCGCGTAATATAAAAAATGGGTGTTGGGTGAATTATTAGGGTAGATTGGGTAATATAAAAAATGGGTCTAGGGTGAATTAGTAGGGTAGATTGGGTAATATAAAAAATGGGTGTTGGGTGAATTATTAGGGTAGATCGGGTAATTTAAAAAATGGGTGTTGGGTGAATTAGTAGGGTAGATTGGGTAATATAAAAAACGGGTGTAGGGCGAATTAGTAGAGTAGATTGGGTAATATAAAAAACGGGTGTAGGGCGAATTAGTAGGGTAGATCGGGTAATATAAAAAAGGGTGTTGGGTGAATTACTAGAATATATCGGGTAATATAAAAAATGGGTGTAGGGTGAATTAGTAGGGTAGATTGGTAATATAAAAAATGTGTGTAGGGCGAATTATTAGGGTAGATCGGGTAATTTAAAAAATGGGTGTTGGGTGAATTATTAGGGTAGATCGGGTAATTTAAAAAAATGGGTGTTGGGTGAATTAGTCGAATAGATTGGGTAGTATAAAAAATGGGTGTTGGGCGAATTAATGAGTAGATCGCGTAATATAAAAAACGGGTGTTGGGTGAATTATTAGGGTAGATTGGGTAATATAAAAAATGGGTCTAGGGTGAATTAGTAGGGTAGATTGGGTAATATAAAAATGGGTGTTGGGTGAAATTAGGAGAGTAGATCGGGTAATATAAAAAACGGGTGAATGAATCGGTGTCGAATACACTGCTACGGTGATATGTATGAATGATGAATATATTGGTAAATAGTATCTTTGATTCACGAATGAATACAAGTGACGACTGAATACAGTTTTTACAATTATTTGAGATTTTTTCCAAGATTATTTTAGGAAGTTTTAAAAGTTATTTGTGGCTGTTCTGAAGATTATTTCAAGTCATTTAAAGATTAATTAAAATAGTTTTAAAAAATTATTTGAAGCTATTTTGAAGAATTTTACTGGACTGCCTCACTAGTGCACTGTCTCACCAGTGGACTGCCTCACCAGTGGTCTGCCTCACCTGTGGACTGCCTCACCTGTGGACTGCCTCACTAGTGGACTGCCTCACCTGTGGACTGCCTCACTAGTGGACTGATTCACCTGTGGACTGCCTCACCAGTGGACTGTCTCACCAGTGGACTGCCTCACCTGTGGACTGCCTCACCTGTGGACTGCCTCACNACGTAGCAACCCACCTTGCCCCTCTCCACCTCCTTGGTTGTCATGACAACCACGTAGCAACCCACCTTGCCCCTCTCCACCTCCTTGGTTGTCATTACAACCACGTAGCAACCCACCTTGCCCCTCTCCACCTCCTTGGTTGTCATGACAACCACGTAGCAGTCTTCCTGCCACAACATCCACCAGAAGTCAGCCACGGTGTTGCTCAGGCAGCCCTGGGTTGCAATGTAGCGCTGCTGGTCCCCGCTGCCATCGTCTTCGCTCTGCAACACGACAACAACGTCAGGAAAATCGGGAAATAAAATAAAATTTAAAGGAAAACATGACAAGAAAGTGTCGAAAAAAATAAATAAATATATGATAAGAGAGTGATGAGCTCAGGAAAACCGGAGAAGAAAATAAATTGAAAAATATAACTCAGTACTCACTGCAGTGAGTGACAGAGAGCGCATTTTCTCGTTGACGAAAACTTGAAGTCACTGACGGACAGACAGACATACGGACAGACAGACAGACAGACGGACGGACGGACGGACAGACAGAGACAGACGGACAGACAGACGGACAGACAGACGGACAGACAGGCAGACAGGCGGACAGACAGACGGACGGACATGACGAGCACAGTAGCGTCTTTTTTTGCCATATATGAGAAAATGCTCTAAGAAGACATGATAAGAAAGTTTTGAAAAAAATTAAATAAATATATGATAAGAGAGTGATGAGCTGCGGTGGTGCAGTGGTGAGAGCTTCTGTCTCTTGCTTCCAGCGACCCGAGGGTTCGAGTCACAGGCAGGACAAGTTTTTTAGAGAAGCTTAGCTCAAGGGCAACTCAGTCATTTATCCATAAATAATTGATCTCAATATAATCTAAACTACCAGGATAGGCAATTATAATAACAACAAAGAATGATAAAAGAAATCTGATTTTAAATTATGATATTATTTTCATTGTTGCTACTTTTGTAATTCTTGGAAAAGATGATTGTGACATCTGTATAACAGACTTGCGAAGACAAGCTTGAGCCATAATGGTTCTAACTATGGTATTATTACAGTACTATTCATCACGCGGATCGATGATGGCTAAACTACCGTCCAGTTATGATGGCTCAAACTATGGTTCTACCACCCAGTGATGATGGCTCAAACTATGGTTCTACCACCCAGTTATGATGGCTCAAACTATGGTTCTACCGCCCAGTGATGATGGCACAAACTATGGTTCTACCGTCCAGTGATGATGGCTCAAACTATGGTTCTACCACCCAGTGATGATGGCTCAAACTATGGTTCTACCGTCCAGTGGTGATGGCTCAAACTATGGTTCTACCGCCCAGTGATGATGGCTCAAACTGTGGTTCTACCGCCCAGTGATGATGGCTCAAACTATGGTTCTACCACCCAGTGATGATGCCTCAAACAATGGTATTATTACAGTATATATGAAGGCTCAAACTGTGGTTCTACCGTCCAGTTATGATGACTCAAACTATGGTTCTACCATCCAGTGATGATGTCCCAAACTATGTATTATTACAGTATCGATAAAGTTTCAAACTATGGTTCTACCACCCGATGATGATGGCTCACAGTGATGTGGTTAGCATTGATGTAGTCAGAGCCCGGTATACCAGGGTCCCGGTCACGCAGCACAACCCTGGTGTGGTCAAAGGGCAGGATGTTCTTGTAGCGGTTCTTGCTGCGGTTCTCAGGCTTCTGGCCCTCACTCCGGGAGTGAAGCTTCTTGCATTCCTGCTGCTGCAGCGACTCAAACTCCTCCCAGAACCCGACCTTGCCCATCGCCGTGCTCGTGTTCTCCTGGGGGACAAGGATGGGTTAGAGATGGGGCCCAGGGGGACAAGGACTGGGTTAGAGATGGGGACAAGAGGGACAAGGACTGGGTTAGAGATGGGGACAAGCCTCCCAGAACCCGACCTAGCCCATGGCCGTGCTCGTGTTCTCCTGGGTGCAAGGAGTGGGTTAGAGATGGGGACAAGGGAGACAAGGACTGGGTTATGGATGGGGCCCAGGGGAACAAGGACTGGGTTAACGATGGGGGACAAGAGAACAAGGACTGGGTTAGAGATGGGGCCCAGGGTGACAAAGACTGGGTTAGAGATAGATGGGGACAAGAACTGGGTTAGAGATGGGGCCTAGGGGGACAAAGACTGGGTTAGAGATGGGGCCCAGGGGGACAAAAACTGGGTTAGAGATGGGACCCAGAGGGACAAGGACTGGGTTAGAGATGGAGATATAATAACAATAATTAAGATTATTATTAATAATCTTAACCTGGCCAGCATTAAGTGATAGCTCCTTGACGCGCCTGGCGATGCCCCTGGCGTTGATGCGGGTGGCGTTGAAGGGCTGCTTCAGGGGCACCACAGTACCACTCTGCTCTACCATCGGGTTGTTGCGGTAGTACTCCACCAACTCACGTAGCTGGGGGAACTTGCGGCCTCCACCCACGTCAAACTGGCCCTCCTGTGGGGGAATGGGGGGTTAGGTAGGGTGGTAGTGGGGGATTAGATAGGGCACCACCGTACCACTCTGCTCTACCATTGGGTTGTTGCGGTAGTACTCCACCAACTCACGCAGCTGGGGGAACTTACGCCCTCCACCCACGTCAAACTGCCCCTCCTGTGGGGGAATCACCACCACAGGAGGCTACCCTCACCAGCACAGGAGGCTACCCTCACCACCACAGGAGGCTACCCTCACCACCACAGGAGGCTACCCTCACCACCACAGGAGGCTACCCTCACCACCACAGGAGGCTACCCTCACCAGCACAGGAGGCTACCCTCACCACCACAGGAGGCTACCCTCACCACCACAGGAGGCTACCCTCACCAGCACAGGAGGCTACCCTCACCATCACAGGAGGCTACCCTCACCATCACAGGAGGCTACCCTCACCTCATACGATGGGTGCCGCGCACCGCAGAAATTGCCCGAAAATTACACGTGGGCGCTGAACCACGGCGGTCAGTACGCCCTTTGCAGACGTTGATATCGCTGGCGATACGTCTCATGCCCTTAAGAGAGGGGAGCTTCATCTGAGGGTCACTTCCCTCATCGTCGTCAGGTCCTGACAGCTGAACGTACGACGGAGTGAACAAAGAGTTCCAGCGGTTCAGTAGCGCCTTGGCTTTCATGCTGCGACAATTTTCGTGATCCGTGAATTTGATATTTGCTTCGTAGGCGTTTCAACGAATTCGTGAAGGCTTTTTTTTATAACAGTTTTGGATTTATTGGTGTTATTTGATATTAACTTGTTATCGTGATGCGACAATTTTCGTGAATTAGATATTTGCTTCGTAGGCGTTTCAACGAGTTTGGCAAGGCTTTTTCTTAACACAGTTTTAGAGGTTTTTGTATTATTAACTTCTTACCCGTTTCGATTTTGGGATAATGTTTTTACTGGTTTTCGGTTTCCCTAAATTCCGAGAATTTGATATTTTCTTCGTAGGCGATTCAACGAGTTTGGCAAGGTTTTTTTTTAACCACAGTTTTGGATTTTTTGAGTAAAATGATATTCTCTTCTTTGGCGTTTCGATTTTGAGGTGCTGTTTTTACTGGTTTTCGGTTTCCCTAAATTCCGAGAATTTGATACTTGCTTCGTAGGCGTTTCAACGAGTTTGGCAAGGCTTTTTTTTAGCAGTTTTGAATTTTTTGTGTGGTGTTTGATATACTCTTCTTTGGCGTTTCGATTCTAAGTTCTGCTTTCACTTCAGTTTTCAGTTTCCCTATAAGAGCCGACAATTGAATATTTTCTTCGTAGGCGTTTCGACGAATTTGGCAATGCTTTTTTTCCTCAGATTGAAATTTTTTGGTGTTGTTTGATAATCTCTTTTTAGTAGTTTCGATTTGAGGTGCAGCTTTTACTTCAGTTTTCGGTTTCCCTAAGTTCCGTGATTTTGATATTTTCTTCGTGGGCGTTTCGTAGAATTTGGGATGCTTTTCTATCCCATCACTTGAGATTTCTTTATATTTTACGGATTTTAATTTTCTTTGTAAGCGTGTTTATAAGCTGGGATTTTTTTACCACAGTTTCGGACGTTTCTTTTCACCTCAGTTTGAGATTTCGCTACGTTTCGCAAATTTGAAATTTCTTCGCATGTGTAGGCGATTCGATGGAATTGGGACAAGTCATTTACCTCAGTTTAGGAGTTTTTTATACGTTAGCTTCATGTTCCTTTCAGTTATGCGCATTAAATTTTTTTTTCTTGTTCGTTTCACTGAGATTCGAATATCTGTTGTACTTCACTTTGCAAGGTTTCTTTCACCTTAGTTTCAGATTTTTTACGTTCCGAGAACTTGAAATTTCTTTGTATGTGTTTCACAGAGTTTAATGTGTTTCATTTCTATCTATGTGAAGATCTTTGCTGTCATTGACCAACTATAGGATATTTTCGGGAATTTTAACTCAATTTCAATTTCATTTTCCTTTAATCACCACCGTACACTTGGATTAAGAATCACAATGTATTATCTTCAGTTTCAATAAAATATTGGTAATGAAGTTCGGCGTCGCAGGGAGATATCATTGAAAATTTTGCATTGGTTTCACATTTCACATTTGGATTCTAATGGTTTCAATTTTGCAAGAATCTAAATTTGCGTCTGAATCTCAATTTTCCTGTGAATTCTATGCATCTCGATCCACATTTTCTGTCAATTCTATAAAAATTTTCTGTCAATTCTATGCGTCTCGATCTAAATTTTTCTGTCACTTCTATGCGTCTCGATCTAAATTTTTCTGTAAATTCTATCCGTATCGTTCTAAATTTTTCTGTCAATTCTATGCGTCTCGATCTAAATTTTTCTGTCAATTCTATCCGTCTTGTCTAAAATTTTCTGTCAATTCTATGCGTCTCGATCTAAATTTTTCTGAATTCTATGCGTCTTAACCTAAATTTTTCTGTCAATTCTATACAATTTTTCTCTCAATTCTATACAATTTTTCTGTCAATTCTATGCGTCTCGATCTAAATTTTTCAATAAATTCAATACAAATTTTCTGTCAATTCTATACAAATTTTCTGTCAATTCTACACGCCTCGATTTCAATTTTTTTGTCAATTCTATACGCCTCGATCTCAATTTTTCTGTCAATTCTATATAATTTTTTTGTCAATTCTATACAATTTTTCTGTCAATTATATACGCATCGAACTAAATTTTTCTGTCAATTCTATACTCCTTGATCAAAATTTTTCAGCCAGCACCAGCACCACGCACCACCCACCACAGCACCCTGCACAACACTACCTGACGCCTGGCGTAATACGCAGTCAGATGTGAGCGCGATAACAGCGCCGATAACAGCGCCCAACATAACAAACTGATGCGTTAAAGCAGCATATCGTTCTAACTAATATACATGACTTAATGAGCTGTATTACCAGCTTATTAAGTTGAGAAGCTGTATTACCTCATCTGCATAGTTAAGAAAAAATTAAATGAAATCCGTAATATAGAGGACTTAATGAGGCTCCTCCTTATTTACTTGAAGGTAAATTAATGAGCTGTATTAGGTACTTGCTTATCAAGTTAAGACCTGGATGACTTAATGAGCTGTACGTATTACCTGCTATGTATCTAGTTAAGAAATAATTAAATGAACTCCGTAATATAGATAACTTAATGAGCTGTATTACCTGCTTATTAAGTTAAGAAATTATTAAATGAACTCCGTAATATAGATAACTTAATGAGCTACCTATATTACCTGCTTATTAAGTTAAGAAAATATTAAATGAGCTCCGTCATATACATGACTTAATGAGCTGTATTACCTGCTTATTAAGTTAAGACCTGCTTCTTATTTTCTTAATGGATCATTACATTAACATATACGTGATGAAAATTTGATCAGCTAGTCCGATAAAATCATTTACTTTACACTTTTACGGACAAGATGCCACATTCATCTACTCAATTATTATAAAAATAATCGAACTCAGTAAATTACAATAAGCCTTGGTTGTATTCAATAAATACAGCACTTTAAGAAGACTTAAAAAAAAAAATTCTTGGAAAATGGACATAACCGAAAATTCTAAGAAAACAATAGGTATATTGCCAATGCACCAGAACGATCCTGCACCAATGTTTCATACACTGTTAGAAAAAACGGTGAAAAATGGTCCCTCTGGCGTTCTCGTGGCCGGTCGCCCCGTGAAAATAAACTGTTTCGCCGTTTTTATCAGATGTTTTACGGATTTCTAGTGTTAAATTAGAATAAAAACGGCGACACTGTTTCTTTTCACGTGCCGACCGGCCACTGAAACGCTGGTAATACCGTTAACGGGAATTTTTCTAACAGTGTAACGAGTTCTCACATGAACCATTAAATTAATGTTATCATGCAGCCCTCATCTCCGAACTACTTAACAGAGTTAACAGAGTTAAATTATTACAATTTTTGGTTGTTGCACTCTGCCTATGTAGTAGTTGAACAAATCTGGGTCATGAGACCACCAAAAATTAAAAAAAAAATTTGGTTGGCACCCTACCCCTCGTATTATTATACTATGCAACATTCCGGTTGTATATAACATAAATAACATATACCGGTACGTACTATTGAATATTATATTTTATATAACATATATAAATTATAGTATTCATCATTATATTTATATATAACATATATAATACTATGCAACATTACATTTGTATATAACATATAAATAACACATACCGGTACGTACTATTGAACATTATATTTTATATAACATATATAAACTATAGTATTCATCATTATATTTGTAGGTATATAATATATATAATACTATGCAACATTACGGTTGTATATAACATAAATAACACATACCGGTACGTACTATTGAACATTATATTTTATATAACGTATATAAACTATAGTATTCATCATTATATTTGTATATAACATATAATACTATGCAACATTACGTTTGTATAGAACATATAAATAAGATATACCTACTATTGAACATTATATTTTATACAACATATAAAAACTATACTGTTGAATATTATATTTGTAAATAACATATACTTAACATCAAAAAGCAACCGAAAGTAAATCTAAGAAGAACAAGTACTATAAAGAAGTTTAGATGTTGTGAACGTAAACTAAAGCAAGCAGAGAAGCACGTGAGGCTACATGAGAAGCTCTTGATACAGAGAGCTGTTAGCAATACATTAACTGTGGCGCAATGTGGCATTAGCTGCGCCACAGCGGCAAACTGGCCACAATGCTAAACTGGCCACAATGCCACACAGGAACACACAGTGCCACACGGGAAACATACAGTGCCACACTGGCCACAGTGTCACACATGAAACACACAGTGCCACACGGGAAACACAGTGCCAAACGGGAAACATACAGTGCCATACTGGCCACAGTGCCACACTGGCCACAGTTCCACACTGGCCACAGTTCCACACTGACCACAGTGCCACAATGACCACAGTGCCACACTGGCAACAGTGCCACAATGACCACAGTTCCACAATGACCACAATGCCACACTGGCCACAGTGCCAAACTGGCCACAATGCCACACAGGCCACAATGTTAAACTGGCAACAGTACCACACTGACCACAAAGGGTGGGGAGAGGGCGAGGGGGTATCATACGGTGGGGAGAGGGCTAGGGGGTATCACAGGGTGGGGAGAGGGCGAGGGAGTATCACAAGGTGGGGAGAGGGTCTCACAAAAGCTTGAGAAAGTCAAAAAAAAGAGGAAGGGTGGGGGAAAATAATGTATAACTAGAGAACAGGAATTCGAAAAATTGCTGCATTCGAGACTGACACATCAAAATGCGGTTTAAATAGCACAATGAAAAGATAAAAGAATTTATAAGCAAATATTCAAATCTAAAAAAGGCAACTTCGGAGAGATTTTAATTATGAAGATTGCTAATTGACTTAGTAAAACGAAATATTTATACATAAAACTGCGAGGTAGACATTTATGTTTTAATGTTTAAGGATATTTATTGAATGGGTGGATATTGGGACAGAGGGCATGATGTGTGAGGGTAGATAAGAGGGTACAAAATACGAAGGTACAGAATACAGAATATGAGGGTACAGAATATGAGGGTACAGAATATGAGGGTACAGAATATGAGGGTACAGAATATGAGGGTACANATGTGGTGTGGTGACATCACACATCAAGTGAGGGGAGGTGATGTGGTGCAGCTAAGATGTGGTGTGGTGACATCACACATCAAGTGAGGGGAGGTGATGTGGTGCAGCCAAGATGTGGTGTGGTGACATCACACATCAAGTGAAGGAAGCTGGCTGTGATGCAGACAAGATGTGGTGTGGTGACATCACACATCGAGTGAGGGGAGGTGATGTGGTGCAGACAAGATGTGGTGCTGTGACATCACACATCGAGAGCTTAATGCAAAAGCTGATAAAAAACCAACGCAATTCATCACAAAACTTCAATGTTTATTTGACTTCCTCTCAGGGGTCACATTTAAATACATTTTTAATCGTTGCAATGCATTCGTTTTAAAAGGCAAGCATTAACACTAATACCTTAATTTTTTATGAAATAAATTTCAGAACTGCACAACTATTAGCCCGACCCAACTCATGCGTAAATTTCTCCGTAAATTTAATACATTAACGATATTTAATTAATAAATATTACATTACCGCTGATTAAGTAATAATTATTACATTACAGATAATTAATTAATAACTGATACATTACCGATAATTTACTAATAATTAATACACTAGGGTACCAATGATTAATTACTAATTAATACATTACCGATAATTAATTAATAATTAATACATTACCTGTGATTAATTTATAATTAATACATAACCGATGCTTAATAATAATATATATATTATAATAATAATAATAATATATACGTTACAGACCAATAAAAATACATTAATTAGCCTATACTCTAATATTAAGGAATTTAACGGCTAAAGTGAATAAAAATATAACTCAATACTCACTGCAGTGAGTGACAGAGAGCGCATTTTCTCGTCGACGAAAACGTGAAGTCACGGACAGACGGACAGACGGACGGACGGACGGACAGACAGACGGACGGACGGACTGACAGACGGACATGGCGAGCACAATAGTGCATTTTTTCCATAAATGAGAAAATGCGCTAAAAATGACAGGAATTTTGAGGAAACAGCCGTCGCTGCGAAGCACAATGATTCAAGTCGTATTCGTAAATAACATAACGTAATATAATTAACTATTTGTTGAGCATTAAGTACCCATCACGTAGTAGAATACAATTTTCTATACATATAATATACATAACGTAACCGCATAACATTTTTCACGGTTTACAAAGCACAATATGCATGAGATATGCCCAAAGTCTCTAATAAACTAATTTTAAATCAAAAGTCAAAACGATGAAAATTTGTCATAATATACGAAAAAATTGAAGCGATGAACACGACTTCAATTGAACGAGACTGATCTTTCACTTGAGATAAGTTCCAGAGACTTAAATAGATAAAGCTAAAGAGATAAAGCCACTTGAGATAAGGACGTTTGAACTTTTCACACACTGTTAGGAAAACGGTGAAAAAACGGTCCCACCGGCGTTCTAGTGGCCGGTCGCCCCGTGAAAATAAACTGTTTCGCCGTTTTTATCAGATGTTTTACGGACTTCTAGTGTTAAATTAGAATAAAAACGGCGACACGGTGTTTCTTTTCACGTGCCGACCGGCCACTGAAACGCCGGTAATACCGTTAACGGTAATTTTTCTAGCAGAGCAGTCAGTGCAATTTAGATACTCGGCCATTTTATCCAACCTTGATCCATGAGAAGCATGAGTGAACATTTCATATCTTGACGTATTTCTTATTTTTTAGATCCAGAGATGAAAAAAATATAACTCAGTACTCACTGCAGTGAGTGACAGAGAGCGCATTTTCTCGTCGACGAAAACGTGAAGTCACGGACGGACAGAAAGACAGACAGACGGACGAACAGACAGACAGACGGACGGACGGACATGACTAGCACAATAGTGCCTTTTTTCCATAAATGAGAAAATACGCTCAAAAATGATCTTCAATATGGGATATTAAAGATCCCTAACCAGTAGTCGCACATGGGCACGGTAAGAAGCGTTGCATTATACAGGACAAATGAACACGGTAAAATACCTTCATTGTATAAGCAAGATATACAGAGACAGTGGAAAGACACATCATACGAGACATTTCATCGTTGACACATTTCATCACTATAGCTATTCATCATAGCACATTTCATCGTTGACACATTTCATCACTCTAGCTATTCATCATAGCACATTTCATCATTGACACATTTCATCACTCTAGCTATTCATCATAGCACATTTCAACATTGCATAAAGTGCATTTTGCAAACATAGATCTGAGTCAGGGAACCATAGAGAGATAATATATAAATTATTGCATTACTAATAAGACTAAGCCATAAAATCGTAGTCTTCAGAGTAAATCAACTTTCCATATAGAATGATAATTTACAGTTACAAGAATATTATTCGCGCCAAAAAGCCTGTTAAATTGAGTTACCCTCAACAGACAGAGGGTTAATGCAAGTACAAAATAAATAGAATATCAGAGGGTAAATTGCGCTGGGGCAGCGTTTCCATTTACGGAAGATGCATCATATATATGAACGTTCTAGTTTCGTTAGAGGCAATCCCAAAATTTGATCATAGATTTTTTATACTAGTTTGAGTTTCGTTGGAATTAATCCCAAAGTTCGATAGTTGATTTGTTATCATTCTAGTTTCGTTGAAATTAATATCAAAGTTTAGTAGTAATGGATTTGTGAACATTAAAATTTCGTTTAAAGTAATCCTAAAGTTTGATAAAGGATTTGTGAACAATGAACTTTTGTTTAAAGTAATCCTTAAGTTTGATAAGTGATTTGTGAACAATGAACTTTCGTTTAAAGTAATCCTAAAGTTTGATAAGGGATTTGTGAACAAAGAACTTTCGTTAAAAGTAATCCTAAAGTTTGATAAAGGACTTGTGAACAATGAAATTTCGTTTAAAGTAATCCTTAAGTTTGATAAGGGAATTGTGAACAAAGAACTTCCGTATGAAGTAATCCTAAAGTTTGATAAAGGATTTGTGAACAATGAACTTTCGTTTAAGGAATCCTAAAGTTTGATAAGGGATTTGTGAACAATGAACTTTCGTTTAAAGTAATCCTTAAGTTTGATAAAAGATTTGTGAACAATGAACTTCCGTTTAAAGTAATCCTAAAATTTGATAAAGGAATTGTGAACATTGAACTTTCGTTTAAAGTAAAGTAAGTTTAATATTGGTTTGTGAATATCGAACTTTCGTTTAAAGTAATCCTAAAGCTTGATAAGGGATTTGTAAACAATGCATTTTCGCTTAAAGTAATCCTAAAGTTTGATAAAGGATTTTTGAACAATGAACTTTCGTTTAAAGTAATGAATTTTTAAAGTAAAGTAATTTTAATATTGGTTTGTGAATATTGAACTTTGGTATCTAGAAGATTGATAGATGATACTGAGCGTTATGGTATAGGGAATATTCAAAAATATAACTTATTAATGGTACGGAGGAACGTTCAAAAATGTGACTCGTTTATGGCACGTTGAACGGTCAAAAATATGACTCATTTATGGTACGGAGGAACGGTCAAAAATATGACTCATTTATGGTACGGAGGACGGTCAAAAATATGACTCATTTATGGTACGTTGAACGATCAAAAATATGACTCATTTATGGTACGGAGAACGGTCAAAAATATGACTCATTTATGGTACGTTGAACGATAAAAAATATGACTCATTTATGGTACGTTGAACGATCAAAAACATGACTCATTTATGGTATGGAGAACGGTCAAAAATACGACTCATTTATGGTACGGAGGAACGGTCAAAAATATGATTCATTTATGGTACCTGCGGAGGACGGTCAAAAATATGATTCATTTATGGTACGGAGGACGGTCAAAAATATGACTCACTTAGGAAACCTTTCATTGAAAAAGTAAATGAACAAAAAGGATTATAGGCATATTAGGTGAATGTGAATTCGTTCACCTTCGGAGTATAACAGTGAAATTGAAAACAAATTCAACAGAAAACAAAGTCTGAACAGGGGAAATGTAAAGAAGCGATTTAGATTCATTGAACTTTGATTTAAATAAGAATATAAAGGTAAGGGTTACACAAGACTGAATACTAACGAGCGGAGTTGAAACTTGATTGAATCTATAGGGCGTTGACACCAAGATAATTTAAATGCTGTCAAAAGTAAACTGATGCACTTAATAATGCAAGCACGATAAGAAGGTGAAAATAGAGAAAGAGATCCCTGCATAAACTAAAAAAAAATATAACTCAGTACTCACTGCAGTGAGTGACAGAGAGCGCATTTTCTCGTCGACGAAAACGTGAAGTCATGGATGGACAGACGGACGGACATGGCGAGCACAATAGTGCATTTTTCCATAAATGAGAAAATGCGCTAAAAATGGGTGATATTGTCCGAATAGTGACACTGTCCAACTCACAGTTCGAGCAGAGAGCGGACGTAGCACGGACACGCCCTATTATAGCCGGGCCAAACTGGGTCAGGATGACTCAGTTATTGTAGCCGGGCCAAACCCGGTTCAGGATAACTCACACAAGGGATTACAAGGTCCCCAACACCCACACACAAAAAAGTGCATGGTTATTAGGACAAAGTGTGCCTTATTTCTTCGAGTGTATGAACTGTTAGAAAAATTACCGTTAACGGTATTACCGGCGTTTCAGTGGCCGGCACGTGAAAAGAAACACCGTGTCGCCGTTTTCATTATAATTTAACACCAGAAATCCGTTAAACATCTGATAAAAACGGCGAAACAGTTCATTTTCACGGGGCGACCGGCCACTAGAACGCCAGTGGGACCGTTTTTTCACCGTTTTTTCTAACAGTGCATCGTTATTAGGACAAAGTGTGCCTGATTTCTTCGAGTCTATGTGCATGAGTCAGTGAAGGCAGCCGGCTGAGAGATAAGACAAAGCCATGCGTTATCTTATCTCACGAGCGCATGTAGATGCCACGTACGTCCCGTATGAGATCAGTACGAGTTGGTCGCTAGCAAAGGAAGCTGTCCAGCGAGTGTTGCTCTCATCGTATTTAACAATTAACTATTTAATTTAACAATTAACATTACTGATACGAATTCCTGTTTAGCAGCTGTGGTATAACAGTCGTTTCCCGAATAACAAATAACAAGAACAAAAATAACAAAGGTAAGGAATGATATTTGTATGTTATCTCTTGTTAGTAATATTCATGCCTGACGTAAAACAAGATAACAAGCCGAGCAAGACTCAAGAATTTAAACTTATTGTTTTCTCCACTGATCTTCTATTGCACGATGACATCATAATTAAAAAACGTTCTGCTTTAAATTTCGGTTCTTTCTAAAATGTTAAAAAAATTAGTACTGGAATAATGTTTAGTTTTTGATGTACTAACTGAACACTATTGATTGTTAATTACTATTCAATGATTGCTGTGTAATAGGCTACTGTGAAATATGGAAGAACGTGCAGCCAAACAACCAATATTTCCTGAGATTCAGATCGTTATAGTGGAACCATGGGATTGTTATTGGTGGCTGACACCGAGATTGTTATTGGTGGCGACATTAATGACTGACACCAGATTGTTATTGGTGGCGACATTATATAGTGACTGACACCAGATTGTTATTGGTGGCAACATTAGTAACTGACACCAGAGATTGTTATTGGTGACAACATTAGTGACTGACACCAGGATTGTTATTGGTGGCGACATTAGTGACTGACACGAGGATTGTTATTGATGACAACATCAGTGTCTGACACCAGGATTGTTATTGGTGGCAACATTAGTGACGGTACACAAGAATTGTTATTGGTGGCGACATTAGTAACTGACACGGGGATTGTTATTAGTGGCGACATTAGTGACTGACACCAGGATTGTTATTGGTGGCGACATTAGTGACTGACACCAGATTGTTATTGCTGGCGACATTATATAGTGACTGACACCAGATTGTTATTGGTGGCGACATTATATAGTGACTGACACCAGATTGTTATTGGTGGCGACATTAGTGACTGACACCAGGATTGTTATTGGTGGCGACATTAGTGACTGACACCAGAGATTGTTATTGGTGGCGACATTAGTGACTGACACGAGGATTGTTATTGGTGACTGACACGGGATTGTTATTGGTGACTGACAGCGGGATTGTTATTGGTGACTGACACGGGGATTGTTAATGGTGGCGACATTGGTGACTGACACCAGAATTGTTATTGGTGGCGACATTAGTGACTGACACGAGGATTGTTATTGGTGGCGACATTAGTGACTGACACCAGAATTGTTATTGGTGGCGACATTAGTGACTGACACCAGATTGTTATTGGTGGCGACATTATATAGTGACTGACACCAGGATTGTTATTGCTGGCGACATTAGTGACTGACACCAGGATTGTTATTGGTGGCGACATTAGTGACTGACACCAGGATTGTTATTAGTGGCGACATTAGTGACTGACACCAGAATTGTTATTGGTGGCGACATTAGTGACGGTACAACGGTTCTTAACTAATCACAAGCGACAGACAGCGCTACGAAGAAACAGGATATGGAGAGATTAGGTTAGGAAAACTCCTGACAAACTGGTACAGTCCTATGGTGGACAGACAGAATGCCATTAATGTCTGTTTTTAGCAGACAAATTTAGATGTAGAAAGAACGCCGTAATTGACTGAATTTGGCAGACAAAGTCAGTGTTTACATGTTCTTTACATTGTAAAAAGAACGCCGTAATTACTGAATTTTGCTGACAAAGTCAGTGTTTACATGTTCTTTACATTGTAAAAAGAACGCCGTAATTGACTAAATTTGGCAGACAAAGTCAGTGGATACAGAAGTCTAGGCAGAACAAAAGTCTAGACAGAAAAAAATTCTAGGTATAACATAAGTCTAGGTAAACCAAAAGTTTAGGTATGACAGAAGTCTATGCAGAACAAGAGTCTAGGCAGAACAGAAGTCTATGCAGAACAAAAGTCTAGGCAGAACAGAAGTCTATGCATAACAAAAGTCTATGCAGAACAAAAGTCTAGGCAGAACAGAAGTCTAGGCAGAACACAAGTCTAGGCAGAACAAAAGTCTATGCAGAAGAAATGTCTAGGTATACCAAAAGTTTAGGTACAATAGAAGTCTAGGCAGAACAAAAGTCTATGCATAACAAAAGTCTATGAAGAACAAAAGTCTAGGCAGAACAAAAGTCTAGGCAGAACTAAAGTCTAGGTATAACAAAAGTCTAGGCAGAACAAAAGTCTAGGCATAACAAAAGTCTAGGCAGAACAAAAGTCTAGGCATAACAAAGAGTCTAGGCATAACAAAAGTCTAGGCAGAACAAAGGCACAGCAGCAGTACATAAGTCTAGGCAGAACAAAAGTCTAGGCAGAACAAAAGTCTAGGCAGAATAAAAGTCTAGGTAGAACAAGAGTCTATGCCTGTCTCTTATACACATCTAGATGTGTATAAGAGACAGACTCAATACTCACTGCAGTGAGTGACAGAGAGCGCATTTTCTCGTCGACGAAAACTTGAGGTCACGGACGGACANAAGCTGGCATGCATAATGTTCATGTGAAGCTGGCATGCATAATGTTCATGTGAAGCTGGCATGCATAATGTTCATGTGAAGCTGGCATGCATAATGTTCATGTGAAGCTGGCATGCATAATGTTCATGTGAAGCTGGCATGCATAATGTTCATGCGAAGCTTACATGCATAATGTTCACGTGAAGCTGGCATGCATCAAAGAGTGCATCGCTATTTGAACAAAATCATTCATTTTTTCTGAGTGTATAACGTGAAGCTACCTTGAGCTAAAAAGCAAGAGTCTTATTTGGACAAAGTCATTCATTTTTTTCTGAGTGTATAACGTGAAACTACCTTGAGCTAAAAATCAAGAGTCTCATTTGGACAAAATCATTAATTTTTTCTGAGTGTATAACGTGAAGCTACCTTGAGCTTTGTTATCATACACGAGCCTTCCTGTGACAAAGGTACACTCACAGAAATTGATGGCTCATATTGTCAAAAAATGACACACTTTCTCACTCACAGCACGCACAGAGATCGGCTCTGACACGCTTTTGTGCGGGGAAAAACTGGGTTAGGATGACGCACACAATTTAAATGAGTGTATCGTTATTTGGACGAAGTATCACACATTTGTTTGAGTGGTGACATACATAACATGTGCACAGCGGCGTGATAAGCGAACACGTCCTGTCATGTTATGCTTACATGTACATAACACATGACATGATGCATAGACATGAACATAGAGCCTGCATGTTATACTTACATGTACACAGCACGTGACAGACATGATGCATAGACATGAACATAGAGCCTGCATGTTATACTTACATGTACACAGCACGTGACAGACATCATGCATAGACATGGACATAGACATGACTATGTAATACTACACAGTCTTGGTATAGATTATGTTACGGTACACATTATGTAATATATTTAAATTGATTTCAAATGATAATTACACATTTATCAATCAATATAATAGTTTAAAAGGTGCAGTAATGACTGTACAATAACGTAGGTTATTTTCTTGAGCTTAGCAGATGACGAATGAACTTGATATGTCATGTTACATCCTTATCAGCCTAATGACTGATAAGATATCAAACTATATCTAACTATCAAATATCCTGCACTTTTAGTCTTCACACCTGCATTGCCTCAATACTAACACACTAATTGCAAAAATCCAAATTTGAAAATCTAATTAATTTAACTTAATAATTTAACTTAATATCTTAACTTAACTTAATATCTTAACTGAACTGAATATCTTAAATTAATATATTTACTTAGCTTAATAAATAACTAAAATCTAACTAAGTCTGATATAATTTCATGATATTTGTGAGTCAATGAATGTTTAAGATGATACCACATTATTATACATCACAGTACCAACGCGCGATTGTAAATATAACTTACTTTTATTTCAATATAGAAATATTTCTGGAACTCAAATCGCAGAAATTTTGTTAACGTCCTCATCAACTGACGTACCGATGTCTACAAGGATGACGTCGTGGGACTCGTATACGTCCCTTCCAAATAACCCATTAACGTTCTCATGAACTCATTAACGTCCTCATGAATTCATTAACGTTCCAATCACCGCATTAACGTCCTCATGAACCCATTAACGTCCAAATCAACCCATTAACGTCCCAATCAACCCATTAACTTCCTCAACAACTACCGCATTAACGTCCGCATCACCTAACGTCCCCTTGTCCCCCAGATGTCGTGGGACTCGTACGTCCCCTCTATACAACCCATTAACGTCCCCCATCACCTAACGTCCCCTCGTCCCCCAGATGTCGTGGGACTCGTACGTCAGTGACCAGCTCATGTCCACCGGCAACCTGACGATGGCCGCCATCTGTGGCCACGACGGCCAGGTCTGGGCCTCCTCCAAGGACTTCACGCCCTCACCGGACGAGGCCCTCAAGCTCGTCAAGGCCTTCGAGGACCCCTCGGGCCTCGCAGCCTCAGGTGAGGGTAATAGGGGGTTACCCTCGGGTCTAGCAGCCTCAGGTGAGGGTAATAGGGGGTTACCCTCGGGTCTAGCAGCCTCAGGTGAGGGTAATAAGGGGTTACCCTCGGGCCTAGCAGCCTCAGGTGAGGGTAATAAGGGGTTACCCTCGGGTCTAGCAGCCTCAGGTGAGGGTAATAAGGGGTTACCCTTAGACGGTGTGAGGGTAATAGGGGGTTACCCTTAGGCGGTGTGATTGTAATAGGGGGTTACCCTTAGAAGATGTGAGGGTAATAGCTGAGTTACCCTCGGGTCTAGCAGCCTCAGACGAGGGTAATGGCTGGGTTAACCTCGGGCCTCGCAGCCTCAGGTGAAGGTAATGCCTGGGTTACCCTCGGACCTCGCCTCAGGTGAGGGTAATGACTGGGTTACCTACGGCCAATGGCGGCCAAACGTGAGGGTAATGGCAGGGTTACCCTCAGCCAATGTGAGGGTAATGGCAGGGCTACCCTCGTGTCTAGCAGCCTCAGGTGAGGGTAATGGCTGGGTTACCCTCGGGTCGATGTGAGGGTAATGGTTGGGTTACCCTTAGCCGATGTGAGGGTAATGGCGAGGCTGCCCTTACCCGACGTGAGGGTAATGTCAGAACTGCCCTTAGGGTCTAGAAAAGGTAAAGATAAGATGGTCTAGACTTTAAGGTAAAGATAAGATGGTCTAGACTTTAAGGTAAAGATAAGGTAGTCTAGACTTTAAGGCTATTTCGAGATATGATAAAATTATTTAATTATCATAACTAGTAATTTATGCATCTTTATGGCTGAACCTGAACTTAATGCCTATAGCACAATACGCGCGCAGAGAAGTACAGTGAATCATAGTGTATGTATCATGAATGTGCTCATCGCACAATGAATTAACCTATTTATAATGCAGTTATTTATAATGCATGTATAATGAATGAACCTATCGTATTCACTATGCAGCTGACTCCTGAACTACGGTTCACACGCAGGCATGCAGTTATTTATAATGTTTTATTATGTACGCATAGTGAACCTAATGAACGAAGCTGATGCCTGAATTACGGTTGATGTACAGGCATGCATAGTAATTTATAATGTATTTATAATGTACGCATAATGAATGAACTTATCATATTCAATATGCAGCTGATGCCATAATTACGGTTCACACGCAGGTATGCACATAGCAGGCACACGGTTCGTGTACCTGAGTGGCACGGACGAGACCCTGCGTGGCAAGAAGAACACGGTGGGCGTGCACGTGGCTAAGACCAAGACCGCTATCATCATCGGGGTCTACGAGGAGCCCATACAGCCCGGACAATGTGCTGTTACTGTTGAGAGTCTTGCCGACTATCTCAGGGGCGTCAACTACTAACATTACTACCAACATCACTACTAACATACTAACATTACTACCAACATCATTAACTACCAACATCACTGCTAACATCATTCCCAACACTACCAACATCACTACTAAAATATTAACATCACTACTACTAACATTACTACCAACATCACTACTAACATCACTACCAAGCAGTCAATTGTTATATGGTGATATTCACAAGATGGAACATGTCAGTGATACTATCTCTACAACTTCAATCAAGACTATTAACATGTTGAACATGTTGAACAACTTGCATGGTATTCACTACCTCAACAAGGTTTACTTATTTGTCATGTTAAATTATTTTTAAAAATTTACACTACAAAATAAAATTACATTTGGTTTTACTTCCTAGCGAAACTAAACATTTGTTCAAGAAAACTTGTTGAGTTAAAGTGCTGAATCAGCTGTAAAATTTCCATCATTATCATTTAAAATTTTAATCTTGTAAAAAACATTAAACATAGCAGCAATCAAATGTTTTCATAGAATCCTGAAAATCAGTGATTTAGTTCATTACTTAATTAATTACTGTTCATTTTAAACATCAGTGATTTACTTAATTACTTAATTACTGTTCATTTTAAATCAACATTACATACAAGGTCCTACAAAATGTTGTGACTTCACCATTCTTAACAGCCACCGTTTGACAACCTCACCTTTTTATAGAAATCTAGCATAGGATTCTTAAGCCTATTTCTATAAGGTTCACTTTTTTCGTAATCTAGAATCTTGTATCACCGTCATTATCTATTGCCTTATGTCTAAATTAATGATAATGGAATAAGTAATGTTAAAATCACTATAACTCTTCCCTTTAGATTATTTAATGAAAAGATTTGAATCGTTTCATACTTTTTGACAGACTCTCTTTCTATACACTAAATTATTTAGAGATAATCAATTTAAATGACTCTTTCTAAGTTTTAAAATAAATCCATAAAACAATATTGTTTTTTTTTCTTTTCTTCAATGGTCATGTAACAATCTAATCAATAAATAACCAAGTATCTAATAAAGTCCAAATTAATTTCTTAGATAAATTAACATTAATAATAGTAGGGGTTAGCACTTAAAATAATCTCTTAGATTAAATGAGATTTGCTTGAATTATAAATGTCAAGAAATTTAATCATGCATGTCAAACTTTTTCATCAGTTGAAGAGATCATATATTTACCAAACGCATATATTACCCCATGTCAATTATATGCAATTTTAGCAAGTAACATATATTGTTTTTTGAAACAAGTCAATGATTGTTATTTATTCAGTGCAAATAGCTATCATGCCTAAAATAATGATGGTAAAATATTAAAATATTTAGGGATTATTTCAAATAATGAACTGCTAACTGGGAATTTGGACACCAAATGACTTTGGTAGGCAAGATAAATTTTAAGGCATATGTATTTTGTATAAATTTTCATTGATATATACATGACAATAACATGCCAGTAAGAGATGTTACCCTCAACTCGTGTACCAATATATAACCTATGGTACTAGTAATAATAGTAGTTACTCATGTGACAGAGACCAACACAACAAGATTGTTTCCATGTTGGTTATCATTTGTTCACACTCACTGAAATGTCTGAGTTTTCCCAACAGTCACCGTTATTTTGACAGCTAATATGCTCTAAATGCTGTTTAATATGATATAATATAAAATAATAATATAATATAACTTTAATCATATCATAAGACAACACAATTTAGGCCAAAGTCACCACTAATTGGCAAAAAATTGCCACATTTTAACACGTTGACTCCGAAGTGGTACATATGCGTACCACAAAATGTATTTCTCCAGGACGTAGTGGTACATACCTAATACAGGTTGCCTAAAATTGGCCAAATTCAAGAACAAAAAAGGCCAAAAAAGGCCAATAACTCAATATAAACTAGTTTTTTTGTAGGTTCTGCTATGAAAATTCTATTTATTTTCTTTTTGCAGTATTTAAAATTTAATTAGGAAGTACCCCTATCATAAATTTTAGCCGGCCAACGCAATTGAGAAAACTAAATCACGGAATTTGTCCGGAAAAAATGACCGTCTGGCAACCCTGCTTAAAAACAGTACAAAAATGAAATAATAGTACAAGATTGTAGTAATCGTAGTCAACGTGTTAAGAAAATGTGTAGAAAATTATGGCAAATATCACCACAATGCAGGCCAGTCACCACAATGCAGGCCAGTCATCACAATGCAGGCCAGTCACCACAATGCAGGCCAGTCACCACAATGCAGGCCAGTCATCACAATGCAGGCCAGTCACCACAATGCAGGCCAGTCACCACAATGCACATCTGAATTAATCAAAAATGGACTTAAAAAATATAAATGTAAATATAAATATAAATAACATATATAGGTACATATATAAAAAATAAATTTAAATAAATAATATTATAAATAAATTGCCAATAAATTGTAAAGGGAAAACTCACTCATAAATAGCCAACTCAGAATAATATTTTACAAGATATAAGGGAAATGAAAAACATTGATTTACTTAAAATAAACAAATGAACAGCATTCATATACGGTATTTCATTTGTATAGGTTGAAAAACTGAAATTTAATGACTAAATTCAGTGTAATGACTTACAAGATAAATGGTAAATTAAAAATATTGATTTACTTAAAATATACAATTCAACAGCATTTATAAATTTCATTTGTATTGGTTAAAAAACTGACTAAGCATTCCATGACTAAATACATTCTGAATTGTAATGAATATTGATGATTTTAAGGATGATTAGTCTTTAAATATATTCAACATACACAATTTTCCAGATAGGCCCTTTACTAGCAGTAATTTCATGTCTTATTTATTTATTCTCCATTTTAAAACCTAACAGTGCCTTTTACTCTACTAATTGATTGTATTTGTGTTTCTAGATCTGAACTTCTTCTGAACTGAATGTTGTGAACTGACGATGGAGCTGGACTCCGAAACGTTTTCTCTTATAAAGATATGGTGAATTTTTGTGGTATTGTTTTTGCTTTTAAATTCCTGGTTAACTTGGGATTTAAGCAAACAAGTGATTTTAATACTTATTTTCCAGCTCTTTATAGCTCAGTACGAGACAAGAATTTCAGTGTGAACTGAGAAACTCGAATCATGTAAGCAAATTTTCCACTAATTCATGGTAGGGTAAATTGATTTTGATGCAAAAAAATCTTTGAAAGCCTGCACATCTCACACATTTCAAATTTTGTATTTCTTTTTTCTCATTTTGTAATTTTCTTGTAAATATTAGCATGTAACACTGCCTTACCCAGATAAATTTAATTAATTTTTTTTTTCAATAATAACAGCAAATCTATGTTACATATTTGAATACATTTTTTCAGGTTATATCTTTCAGTCTCCATAAGCTTATTGAAATGAAAAAAAAAATACATGGAAATGTATTCAAATAAATGTTTTCTTGAATTACACTCATTAAAATACAAAAAACTACCAAGGACTTGTTTATTACAGTAACTTAACATAATAATCATGAATGAGATGCCACTCACCTTCTTGAAGACATACTGCCAAGCAATATAGATGACCTCAATCCTCCAAGCTACAGTCTATCACTAATGCATAATCAGGATTACATGAACAGATTTAATCACAAATAATCAGGAATAAAGCTTATCATGAAATTTTCTAACAAGCAAATTTAGAAAATTTATTAGAAGACTCTAAGGCAGTTGAGTTTTATCTGAAACAGAAATTATTCCATCATTGCAAGAAAAATCATAAATGGTGGATTAATGGATTTATAGTTTTTAACCCTTTAGCGGGCAATCATTGAAATATTCAGAAATTAAAATATCAGAAAATAGTTCAAGAAAGTAAGAAGTATTAGGGTATATCAAAAATTTATTCCTATGTATTTTTAAAAAATGTGCATATTGGAGGTTTAAGTTGGACTTGAATAATTTATTAAATGTGGTCACTGCAAGAAATATTCTCTTTATAATAAAAATTTATTTATGCAGATGAAATAATTTAATTTAGTTCAATTAAATCAAGTTACCTTAAATAATTAAATACCGGTATGTAGGTATTGATACTTCTGCCTTTAAAAAAAATGCGGAAAGAGTGCCATTTTCATTGTCCGAGTCACAATTTTCATTTAAATGCTCATATTTTAATTTTTGGGCATGGCAGGTGGTGATGCTAGGCATGGAATGATGGTGAGATAATTACTGGTTGACTGAGGCGTTATGAGGACGCCTCAAAAACAAACAGGAAGCCGTGGTGGGGCTTTTTGTGAGGCTATTTCAAGTGATCATATATGGTAACTTGCTCGTGAAAAGGTTAAATGAGAAGAATACATACATTAGATTTAGGCAACCTGCAGCTGCAGGGGAAGACAATTTAGTTTAGACCAGTGGTTCCCAAAGTGGGCAATATCGCCCTCCTGGGGGCGGTGGAAAGATTTTGGGGGCGGTGAGGAAGAAGAGGGCGGTAGGGAGGTGGTAGTCTGAGTTCTATGTCAGAAGTTCCAACGTTTGACGATTTGTACACAACACGTGCAGCACATGACTTCCAGCAATGGTTTTGTCACCCAGATGTTTTTTAACCTCTCCTGGGTTTACGTCTCGGACAAATACATGGCTGAACTCGCGGCCGGTCTCAAGGCCAATTTCCAAATTCAATGATCAAGGAATATCTCTCAAACTAATGAACTTAACTAGATGAAACTTGATACACGTATTCATTAGGACATAACAATGATGTTTATTTAGTGAAAATTGTTTGAATTTTGCCATCGTTTGTTTTGGCCATAGTTATATGGCAATATGGGCCAAAATTCACAGTGATCAAGGATTTTCTTCCAAACTACTGAAGAGATTCAAACAAAATTTTGAATTTACAGTCCTAACTGCCAAATGGTAATGTTTAGCTCGTGAAAATATTTTTTATTGTGCCTTCGTTTGCAAGTTTTTTTTCATTTCACCTTTATTCGTGATTTAAACAGCAATACGTGCTTAAATTAGCAGTAATCAAGAAATTTCTTCC